TATTCTAAGCCATTAAATATTGGTTCCGATGATGCTATTTCAATAAAAGAATTAGCTTATATTGCATTCGAAACTATTGGAATAGCGAAAGAACAAGTTAGGTTGATAACAGATGAGAATAAACCTGTCAGTGTTCAAAATAGAAATTCGGACAATAAACTTATTAGTCAAGTTCTTGGATGGTCACCTAAAACTTCACTTCGAAAAGGTATGGAAAAAACCACAACGTGGATAAAAAATGAAATCGAAAAAGAGATTAATAAATGTAAAAATGAACTAACGAGAAATGAGAAAATATTAAATGAAGGGATTAAATTCGGAATTCTTCTTCCGATTACTTCTCGCGGGCTAGAACGTCCTGACGATTGTCTTTATCACCTGCGTAATTTCGTCCAGAGCGTATATGAAACAACACAAATAGATATTGCGGGTATGAACGGTATTAAATTTTCGGTAAAGTTCTTTATAGGAATTGATAAGGACAACCATCCTATTGAGAATAATGTAGTCGAACAAATACTCAAGGAATACAAATTTATTAATGTAGAAACGTGTGAGTTTGATCTGCCTCCAGGATCCATATGTAAAATTTGGAATGACTTAGCAATAAAAGCGTATAATCAAATGTGTGATTATATAGTACTATTTAATAACGACATTATAATTGAGAGCACTAATTGGATGTCAAAAATTCATGAAGAATTTGTGAAAATTTCAAATGAGAAAAAAGTACCATTCGGTTTCGGAATGGTTACATTCACTCCAGGACTTCCAATATTTCCAGTAATATCACGACTTCATATTGATATATTTAATGGTATACCATTTCCACAAGTATTTACCAATCAGGATGCCATTAGCTCTTTTCTTTTTCAATTATATCGTCGGTTTGGCTGTTCTATAATATCAAAAAGGATCAAACTAATGAAAATCATAGAAAGTAGTAAAAAACCACAGTACGAAAATGATTGGAGTTTTTCTATTTTGGATAATGCAGTATTATCCGTTGAAAAATGGATACAAAACACAATCGAAAATCCTATACCTAAACTCCTTACATTAGATATAGTAGTACCAACATTTAGGGTTGATTTACAATATTTAGAGCCTATAATCCGGCTTAAAAGATCGAAAACTGTATCTACATTAATAATAATGGTTGTGGACAATCCAAGTTCGCCATATATTCGAGATCTAAAAAAACATGAACATGACGAATTCGTCAGAATTATTGTACATGAAAAAAATCTTGGAGTAAGTGAAGCAAGAAATAGAGGACTAAAAGAATCATGCGCGGATTATGTTTTCTTCCTAGACGATGATATAATTGTAGAACCAGATATGTTAATAGAAGCTGAGAGAATAATCCGAAAATTTCCAAAAGCTTGTGGATTCGTCGGATGTACGAAATTCCCGGATCCAAGCAAAACTATTTTTACAAGCGCCGTAAAAATGGCAGGATTAGTTTCTTGTTTTGATGTTGCTGAGCGAATTGAGGAGGATATTCCATGGGGAGTATCAGCAAACCTAATAGTTCGCCGTTACAAAGATAATATCGAGTTCAATGCTATGTTCCCGAAAACGGGAGGGGGTGAAGACGTTGATTTTTGTCTGCAAAAAAGACATTTTTTCAAACGAAATATTCAAGGCAGTGAGGGTTTCCGAGGAGCACCCTTGGTAAGGGCAGTACATCCTTGGTGGAATAACGGGAAAAGGTCATATATTAGATTTGCAAGATGGGGATATGCAGACGGACTTTTACTTAAACTGCACCCAGAGTATACGTTTAAAGACGGTTACCTCGATAGCTCGGAACTTTTAATAATGCTCTTATCTCTTCTTACAATTTTCCTTTTTACAAAATTTTTTATAAGTAATCTAATATTAAATGAGCTAATTTTCATAATGATTATATCAATACCATTATTAGTTGTCGCGAATATACTTGCCACTGTGACTCGTTTAGTGATTTTAGAACCAGAATCACATCTTCCAGAATTAAAAGGATATCGTCGCGTAATTGCAGCATCAGAATCAGCAATCATACTAATAGCCGCGAATTTAGGAAAATTATATGGAAAACTGAGTAGAAAAGATTGGGGTTATATTGGATGGAGGTTCGACTACCTCGCTAGTAGATTCGGTTATTATTTTGTAAGATTTACAAAGCAAAGATCGAGGACGACTTTTAATTTATGGGTCCTTCTTGTCCTACTTACATTTTCTTATATAAGATTTAATACCCATAAATTAGAAAGATTGTTAGAATATGGATTATGGTTTAAAAAATAAAAATAAAAAATAATAATGCAAGATTTTGTATCGACGATAACGTTTATATTACCTTTAAGTATGTAGCTATTTGATATTATTGTTCAATAACTTATCAAATATAATAGATGAGAATAAATTGAGAAAAGTTGAATTAGTAATTTATAGTCATGAATATTAGAGAAATGTGGCTTGTAGATATTTGTTATCAAACATTTCAGAATTATTTACGAAAACTTTTGTGATTGAATTAATTAAAGCAAATCGAAAACGTCGCTGTTAAAAATAAAGATACTATTGAAATAAAGTTAATGAAATAATTTCCCACTATTAGTGGAATTGGTGCTGTTGAAATTAATTTTACCAACATCTCTAGCAAAGCATATAAACCTAATTACTGGAGGGTAATTTCAAATTTTGGCCAAAATTAAGCTTAATGCATGCGGTGTGAACAGCTTCAGATAGCGATAGAGTAATACAATAATACCAAAGAGGAAATGTGGCGGGTCATGAGCAAGACTCGAACCAATGAGTCAGTTGGGCACATACCAAACACTAATTTTAAAGGCAACAATCAGAGGCAGATCTCCAAATGTGAAGAGTGTTAATATTGTAATAAAATGAATAATACCAAGAACATGACAAGATTTTAATAATAATTCAAGTCAAGGTATTGGAAATAATAAACATTTAGTATTTTATTTTTGCAACAAACAATTAGAGATGAATGTATATTTCTAATTGCCCGAAGCGTAGCGAGGACTTAAATTAATTCATAATAATAAAAAAAAATCGTATGATATGTAATGAAATTTTTGGCCTCGGATATAAATTTATTGTTGCGTTAATACATATATTTATTTATTATTACGTTTATAAACATGCGTCAGAAAATAGTGCCCAGCATTATATTTAAGGTTTTAATAATACTTCAAAAAGTAAAAAGAAAAAAATGAAAACCTTAATAAAAGAATGTAGATAGTTTGAAAAATAAATCTTGACGGCGTCTTGATCACATGATCAGAATCAGATGATTTTGGATTCATTAGAAGCGTCTTGAAGAGGCCATCATTTTGGTAATTAAATTGTTTAAATTTGTTGGATAGATCAAAAGTTATTGAATTTTAAAGATTTCGTATTATTAATAGGTATAATTGTTACTATATATTGAATAGTATATAAATATAGTAAAAAAAATATGAAAATATAAGTTATAAACATTCAATTTTTTGTAATTTTAGGGTGCAGATTGTATGAAAATCATGTGCAGAAAATTTGGGGTATTGAGGTAGTAAGGTTAGCTAAAAAAAAGAGTTATTATATAAATAATAAGCTTTTGTGTAATGATTAGCAAATTTGTATAAAATTGATTGTTAGAATGAAAAATATAAAAGGAAAATTAATATTTTCATAATATAAAGTTAATTTGGATAAATTTAGAAGTGATTGGATATTACACAAAAATCGTGTATAGTGGAAAGTACAAAAAAAAGACAAAGAAAGTTGTAAAGAGTAGGTAAAAGAGAGTTAAAATGGTTTAAAGAGTAACTTCGTCAATTTTGATGCTATAGAGATGAAATACAGCTTGTTATGACGAGGAAAGTGTGTAGAGCAACTTTTACTAAATGTACTGCAGAGGTTTAGAATCAGGTTAAGGAACAAATGGCAAAACTTTGAATTTTTGCCTAAAAAACGTTTTAGAACTTGAGCTAGAGGCTTGAAATTTGAGTATTATATATATTTTAATGAACCAGACAACTTTTATTATTGCGTATAATTAGAATAACATAGTAAAATTTTGTATAAATGGACATTTTTTGTTGGACAAATTTTAAGTAAATTTTGTGTTAGAGATTTGCAGAAAGAGTTTTTTGTTATCATCTTTGTTCTCAAAATTTTTTTGATGTTCATTATAATATATAATAATGAACATTAATTTTTTAATAATATTCATATACTATATAAAAACTTGATAAAAGTTTTATAGTCTAATTTCAGTTTATTAAAGAATTTTGGAGCTATTAATACTTGTATAACTTCTTTATTGCTTTAAAATTATTATTACTATAGCTATATAATAATATTTAATACAATGCTACTACAATACTATATTAAGCCAAAACTACAAGTTGTAGCTTAAACCAGTGTTTATTTTTCACATGCGCAAAAGTGTGCGCACGTGTGCAGATCTAATCAAATTGCTTTATTTAAAATTTTGATTAGATCTGCAATAGAGTTGCAGATGAAACAAATCTTCAATGGTGCATCAATTGCCACCAGTCACCAATCACCAATTAGCATTGGTGAAACTGGTGAAACTGGTGGTGTTGGTGAAACTGGTAATGATGGTGAAACTAGTAATGATGGTGAAACTGTTGGCATTGGTGAAACTGGTGGTATTGGTGAAACTGATGGCATTGGTGAAACTGGTGGTATTGGTGAAACTGATGGCATTGGTGAAACTGGAGATTAGTGTCCTGAGGTTCGGGTTAGGGTCAACCTAGGTTCAGAACTTGAACCCAAATCTAAACTTGAACACAAATCTAAACTTGAATACAAAGTTGCTAAACCTGAACTAGATTCGAACATGATTATTGATTCAATTTGGGTTCAGATCAATATTATAAGCAAGTCAGATTTTGGCCCTATATAATACTTCCTCTTTATCATTTACTCCTTGATATTTTTCATACCATGCTCTTTTCTTTTTCTGCCACTTCTTTCTCAATATTTTTCTCTCAACATTACTCTCCCCTAACATCTCCTCTTTCCTGCTGCTAATTATTATGTATTATTATTATAAACTCCATTTAAACTATTAATTTATTAATTGTTTATTATATAAAAGCTACTTCTAAACAAATATTCAAACTTGTCCTTATTATTAGAACTAGTAATGGCATGCTCATGAATTTTGACAATCATACACATGATTTTTGTAGCATATTTTAATGGGCCATGTACTATACATATAACTAGACAAATTCTTTTTAATTAATAAAATATTAGATATGTATATCTAATTCCTGTTAAAAAAACCTGTTATTATAATAAAGTATAGATTAATAAAAAAACCAAGTAAAATTTTTAATTATTATCATTGTTTTAGCCTTTAAAATTGGTATATATCCTTATAATAAATTATCATATTATTGTATATTTTTACTAATCATTTTTTCATATAAAAAAATAATGTACAGTTTACATTCTTAAGTTATTTCGAATTAACTATTTATTTTAATATCAAAGATATGAGTTTTATGGCTATAGGAGTAAATCAAAAGCATAATATCCAATATCTTATAATTAACTTTGTGCCAAAAATCTGATTTATATCAATAGAGATCAGATTTTTGGCACAAATAGTTAGCAATAGTTAGCTATTGAATATTCATAGTTTGGCCTTCACATATCAATATGATTGTATGAAGATGTCATCACTATGTCATCATACAATATGAAAAATAATACACTTATTTTCTACTGCAGGGAAATATATATATCTGGCCCTTCAGGCCTCATATAAATAGTAGTTGCGAAAAATAACAATTTTTAATTTGGTTTCTTATTTCATTTATTTTAGTCAGTGAACATAATAGTGAGTGTATTTAAAATAGACCATTTCTTTATATTTAAATTATATTAGTCTGTAAGTTAGTCTAAAATATAACAAAAATATTTGCTTTTTTTAAATATTCTACCTCTGTAAGATTATAAATTATCTGCAATTTTCATTAAGTCAATTATTTAGGTGTAATTTAACTAGAAAGTATAAAGTAATTTGTTTAATCAAAGCATTCAAAAACAATGTATTACTTCTTATTAGTTTTATTGGTTTATTATCTATGCTGATTTGGTCAATAAACAATCTTTTGTTCAAGTCGATCTAGTTAACATTATTTATTAATTGAATATTTGATATAATCTATTAATTCTTATCTATACTTATGATTCTTATAACTTATAGTCTAAAAATTTATATATAAAATATTGATAATAAATTTTAGTCTTATCTAAAATTAATCTAAACACAAAAAATTAGGCTGTAAATGGTTGGTATAATAGTTTATACTAATTGTATTAGGACTAGGGTTGGTAAAATCCTTAGATCCGGGACTTTAGAACCTGGTCTTTAAACCTGGTCTTTAAAGACCAAGTCTAAATTTAAGAACCTAGGGTCCTTAGGTCTTTAAAGTCCCAATATACATACAAATTTATAATTGCTAATCAATATATATATAGTATAATGTTTTAAATACATAGTTTAAGATTATAATCATTTATTTAATGTATATAATTCATATATTGTTATTATACATTCTAATGCTTACAGATAAATATCAATATGCACATTGTGAAGGAGTAACATGAACTAGCCACAGCAAAAAATGTAATCTAAGCCATAAAATCAAAAAAGTATAGTATTTAATAAATGCCAATTTGGGTTTTGGTTTGAGGCGAAGCTCCAATACTAAGACGCTTCTATAGTGGGAACTAAAGTTATAGTTATATAAATGAGTATGAATTACTCATTGTTAGTCATAGATCCCCCGATACTCTAAATAATCATATTGCTTAGAGATTCTAATTGTAGCAGCAAAGCCCAAAAGCTCTCTATAATGTATAAATAATCATCGATTTCATGTATCTGAAAACAAGTGAAGTGTTATAATAATAAAGACCATCTAATTATAAACTCCAGGATCCTAGTAGCAGTGGGATCCTTGGTTTTTGGACCAAATCTTCCATGCTTCTTTTGATTTTTGTTATGTCTTAGGTTGCAAATACCAGTCACCCTTTTACAAAATATAGTAGACCTAGGTTCTAGGACTAAGTCTTGGACTGGACATAAGTTAACTAAAGTACTAAAACTAGTTTAATAAGAACTTGGTCTATAAGTCCATGCAGTAAAATCTACAGGTCATGAGACCAGGACTGGACTAGAACTGGACTTTACCATTCCTAATTAGGACTGATAGTCTTTTGGTCTGTTCTATATAAGTGTTTAGAATAAATAACTC